TATATATATATATTATGAATTCTTCATAGAGAAAATTTATTTTTCATCGACAAACTAAAAATTCTTATCGCTTTATTATTTTTATATATGTACTAGTTAGTTATACGATTTTTCTGGCAATTATATATCATCTACTTTTTTAATTTCTGGTTTCACAGTGACAATTATATTTTATTATTCGAGGAAAAACTTAATGTTACACGGCACGCACAGATATAAAATATACATATATGAAAATGTTTTATATCTTTTATAAATAAAACAAACTCGCGAACGAAATTGCGAGTGTGTCTTTTGGTTTATTATCTCTTTCTGTTTGGCCACGTGTGTTTGGTCCGATCGATCGAGCTTGAACGCGATACCTATGAGTAGTCATCCAAAAGTACGGTGCGCACGTCTACAAGATTAACTTGCTTTCAGACGCCATCAAATATTTATCGACCGGTTCTCCGAAACGCGATGTAGCGCGGAGCGAGTTCGTCATTCGCCTCGTCGTACTTCGTTCTTCTGGCGGTTGAGACTTTGTTTTTGCAGGCGTTATCGTCTCGTTCTTTTTTATCCGGAACTCGCGCCAGCGTGGCACCGAGTGGAAGAGTCTGCTTCGCGGTGGTTCCGTGGTGGTTTGCAACTTCGGAATGATGCATGACCGGCTATTGGGAGAATGCAAATTGAAAACCAATATCCCTCAAACCACCTGAGGTATGAAGGCGTGTGGTACGAGGCGACGACGGTTCTGCAGGTTCTGCAGGTTCTGCAGGTTGAGCGCCAAGCAGAACTTTCGAGACAGGAGAACTTCATGTACTCCCGCGCGTTCCTCCAGTTGAGAAGAATCTCTTGCATCTGCTCTTGCCTCCGAGCGTCTCGTTTTACTTTCAAAAGACAAAAAAGACGACTGACATTAACGATAAGAAACGAGATAAACGAGAAAAGTCGCTCGTGACATTTTTTCGTTTCGTTTATTAAGAGCACTAGATAAATGCTCAATTGAATTAATTTAGCGGATTAATTATTTTACTAGCTACCTGATCTTTGGAACGTTTGCTTGCATTTCGTAAAAGGAATAATACTATTAAGAGATTATACTTTTTAGATCATTATATGTCTAACCTTTATCGTTACGAGAAAAGGAAACGAGCAATTTTCTATTGAGTACGTTCGCAGCTCCATTTTTCTTGGGCAATCAATTAAGAGTTAATCCCTCTTCTCTCCTCTCTTCTCTCGATCACTTTCGCAAAATTTTTCTTTTTGTATCTGCAAATCTCTTTATTATGTCTTTACTGGGTGCTTTCCATTTAGTGACACAAGTCGACACAAATATCATTTTGTCCTTGTTAATCATTGATGAAAGTCAAGAAAGATAGAATGATACTTGTGTCGACTTGTGTCACTAAATGGAAAGCACCCATTATATCGATGTTTTTAGTTCTTCTTTATTAACTAAAACTTAAAATTAACGAGTTTAATACTTTTTCCACAAAATATTTTCTCTTATTTATTTTGCAGCGTAACGTTTAATTTTTATATAAAAGGATTACATCTACAAGGTAACTTTGGGTTTTATTGATATAACCGCGGAAACGCAATCAAGATGTGAAGGGTAACCCCATAGTTAGAGCAAAAAGTTTTGAATCAAAAGCAAATTTGATTTGCCCTCGGTACTTAACAGAACTTTCCGGCTCTTTTCTTTCGTTACTATTTCTCCTTCCTATTATGCTTCCACACATTCCTAGCTCGATCAAAAAGTTGATTCTTTTTGTTTTATGTAGTTGCTACAAAAGAATATAAGTATAGCTCAAGTATAGCTCAAAATTCGTAAAGAACAATTAAAAAAAAAACTAATTAAAAAAAAAAGATTACTTACTACGTTTTTTGTTTTACTAACGGTTACGAACTTACATTCTTGTATACTCTGATTAAATTGAATAAACAATACAATGGATTGGTTTATAACTAGTAGAATATCATTATCATTATTATAGAATTGTCATTATTATGTTGTTATATTACTTATATTATTAATTCTTACAATCGTTAAAAAGAAAAAGATATTAATTTCTTGATACAGAAATCATAATAATTATACTGAATAATATTATTTTAAACAATTTATTAATTTTTAATTTATTTAAAATGTTTCAAAAATAATAGAAATTATCTTTTAGAACGATTTACATTCTCTCTCTTTTTTTCTCTTTTTTTTTTTCTTTTTGAGATCTATATTTTGTATAATATAGATAAAGATCTTAAGTATTTAAATCAAAGCAAAGTACAAATGGCGATAACGTATATATAATTCAGAGCAATAATTAGATCAAAAGAACGTTGACGATGCACTTTTAGGCTAATACAAAATTTGATAATCATCTCTACTAGCTCGTTACCGTGGCTTTTAGTGAAATTACATTCTCGAGTTTATTAATCGCAGGTCATCATTTCGAAGCTTCCTCTTTTACCATGATTCACACTGTATAATATCTTGGGCTTTGAATGAATATACGACAAAATTCATTTTAGGGATTTTTGTCAATTATCTCTTTTCATCAATTTCTTTTTTAAATTTATTAAATTTTAGACCACGTTATTTCGAAAGTTTTATAACTGATAAAATAATACTTTTATCTTTCTAAAATAAATTTTATATAAAAATATCTCTTTATGTATTTCTTTTATCATATTTGTATAACTAGAATATGTTTTTGTCTATGGAAAAAACTATCTATGACAAAAGCCAATTTCAATTCTTTTAATATTTTTTTATATAACATATGACATATACGGTTTTAGTTTAGCAAGTATTGTTTTAGCAATTATTATTGAATTTTATTATCAACATCAATTATTATTGAATTTTCGAGTTCTATCAACTTTAGATTCTGCAGCGGTAATTAATATAAAATCATTAATTATGCAAGATTATTTTGCTAATAAAATTACACAAAATATCTTTGACTGACTCTTTTTAAGAGAAAACCAGAGAAACGGACAATATAATAGAATCGTGAACAAGAATGAAGGTACACTCGAACTCTTCGCATCGCGAAGTTGTTTATTTCTTGTCTCTCTAAATTCAACTCGAATAGTTGTCTCTCTCTCTCTCTCTCCATATTAAAATAATCGACTCAAGTTTCGCCACTAATATTTCGAGAAATCCAAACTTTCTTGTCCCTTCGTGTCGCTTCCTTCATCATATCCTTGGTGCTTTGTACTATTTTCTTTGTCGTTTATTACTCAATTATTACTTTGTTAAATAAAATAAAATAAAACTTACGTAAGACTAGAAAAGACGTGCGAATACGTAGTATATGCAAAAAATAATGATAACGGAAAATTTTTTTATGTAAAATCGAGAACATCTATTTTATAATAGAAAGATTCTCTTTTCATTCTATTTTCTTTAAGGACAAATCATACAATCAGCGAGGATTCTATTGGAATGTTCAGTCAAACACAGAACCTTCAAGTACAAGCAGAGTACTTGCATCAGGACTTTTCTAACCAAAATAAGTATGGGTCGCTTATTTTTTTATTCAAATACTAAGAGGTATACGAAGCAAGATAATTTCACCATTCGATTCCCGAGTTTTGTCCCTTATACCGGATATCAGAATGACGACAATGGTGATCGAGATGATTCAAGATATATCGAGAATGATAGCGAATTTGTCAGTGAATAAGCGCCCTACTTTTTCTCACACGGCATATTTTCAATAAAATTTCTGTACGAACTAATAAATACACGAAAGAATAGAAAAATTTTTAAGATTTTAATTAACATTACTATATTATCTATACGCACAAGAGTATTATTCACAAAAAATGCTTTTTAATACGTTATATGTTATAACAAAGGTATTATTACTGTGAAATGTTATCGAATAATAATGTAGAGAATGTAGAGAATAGAATACAAAGCTGTAATTGTAAATTAAAACATATGATAGATTTTAGGCACATTTCTTTATACCGTTATTTACCCGTTCTCACTTTGTTTCCCTATCTCGGTGCATTGAACGTGACGGCAAATCTAGACACAAAATTGCTTCGTTGCACTTTCGGAGGTTCAGTCTGAGCTCCAGAAATAATCTCATGCCAGGGTACGGAGTAACTTCTCCCGTTTTGCTGGCGTTTCGTACAAGTTTTGCAACTGTTCGCTGCGATGTGCGGTGGATATTCCGCGGTCTCATACATTCGTAGTAGTTAGACGATAGACGAAATTAATCCAGACTAGCCAAGTTGTATGAATAACGAAAGCACATTTACCGTAGATAAATATTGTATCTATGTAATGTAATAGATATGCTAATAGATAATGAAATAGCCATAATTATTATTACCGAAAAATGATATATCTGCAGAAATTATAAAGGATGAACGAATAAAGCAAAAAGTTGACAGAAAAAAAATAATCATTTTTAATAATATGTTTTTTAATAAATCGTTT